AGTGTTTCGACGCGCGTAAAATAGCAGACTCTCACTTGCACTATCTTTACACACACATAAAAAATTGGTAGATTTGGCAGTTTAAACTTATTTTCCCCACACCACAGCTGACATGTTTTTAAATATTACCTATCTGATCCACTGAGCTATACTATATTACTGGAGGACCTGCTCGGCATCAAGAGGTGAAGCCAAAAACATGGCGGATTTTCAAGGATTTTCACGTTTGCTGACGCCAGAATGACGCCACTGGTCCCAAATCCTCATGGTAATTACCACTGACCAACCGCGATCCTCGGCTTTTGACGACAATTTCACCCCCCTGGATTTTGGCATTTTCCCGCCTTTGGCTTTGCTTGTTTTTTATATACAGAAAACAAACTTTACAATTTACAAACTGAAACAACTTCGCAAAAATGCCACGTTTTTGCTCGGCCTATGGATGCCACAATACTTTTTCAAGGCAGGATATTTCTTCTCACCGGTAAGAAATCGTAAAATCTTTAATAATTCATGAGAAAAATTTAAAAATCAATATAACAACTGAATGCCGTGTCTGCAGACATGGCACGAAATGTACCAATGTCAAAACCCGGCCGTCATTTCAAACAACAGAGACTGTATATTTATTATATTTTTAGTTTACCAATCACTCGAGCACTCACTAGTTATTGTGCAGTGCAAGTTGCTATAGCTTTTTTATATTTATATTACCAATTTCGCAGTAAAAATTTGACCTGTTTTTTAAGATTAAAATTTTCAAATATGCCAAATATACAAACTGAAAGTGGAGTCGGTTGTATTTTTATACATTATATAGTGGACAGGGTACTGCCAGATGGTTTGTGTGGACATGCAATGACATACTCTATTAATTTATACTATCTAAGGCCTAAGGGGATTTTATACGACTTTCAAAAAATATACTTTTTTAATATATTTTGCCTTTTGGGAAAAATTTTATTTGAGTTTTATAAATTATACTTGGACTTTTCACTGGATTCTTTACTTCGAAGGTATCCTAATTTAAATTATCATGTACAATATAGTATATGCAATCAGAACTGAAATGCCAAAATTATGGGCAATTAATGGTGTCAAAAACAGACATCAAATGCATGTATATTCATGACAAATTGAATTTGGGTTAATAAAATGTGAGGCCTCAAAGAAATATATGGTAATTTATGTTAATACTACTGAGCCTGAGTGGTGGCCATTATAACTGTTACTATAAATAAATTTATAGTAAAATATATAAAGTACACAAAAGTTTAATTTAATCCATTGAGCACCAGTGCTCTCCCTTAACTGAATAGTAGGTCTAGATAAAATCGTTTTGCATATACATGGAGACATTAATTTAACAGAGTAAATTAATAATAAGTATAGGATGTGTTAGGGTGCACTATATGCAACTTAATGGGTTAATAATAATTAACCCATAATGAGCTCCAGCACTGAATAATTTACCCTGAAAAATGATAAAGTGCTGCAGCTAGAACATATTAGGGTGCAATGATTAGACATGTGGGTGGATATAATCTGATTAATATAACTCTATTTATGAAATAATATATTTTAATTAACATTTGGAAGAAAAATATTTGTAATTATTAAAATATACAATTATATATGGTAATAGATGTACTGTATTCTCTTCCAGTTTCCCAGATGCCAGGAATAACCCTGAGCTATATGCAAAATGGATGGAAAATGTGAACAAGAATGCCCCTGTTAAGTTTGTCCCCACGAAAGGAAGTCGCCTTTGTTCGCAACATTTTAGCCCGGATATGGTGAAGAAGGATAGAGAACGAGTTATACTGAAACCAAATGCTATCCCAACAATATTTCAGTATTCTCAGGTGTGTGTCTTTATTTGTTATAACTATTTGTTGATATAATAAACACATTTCTACATCCGGTTTTAGATTAGATTTGTCAGTGGAATAGCAATATCATACCCAGTGCATGGCCCGTTCACAGGTTAATTAGGCCAAATAAAAAAAATAGTTGGTTTCAGGTTTCACAGCCATGTTCTATATGGGTAGGTAGGTCGGAAAAACATTTTATTTAAAAAAAATATTTTATCTCAAGTATGCAATCAATATAAGTTAAAACTCATTATAAACTCTTTGTTACCTCCGCCAGGAGGTTATATGTAATCATTACCTCCGCCAGGAGGTTATGTAATCATCTGGGTTTGTATGTGTGTGTGTATGTGTGTGTGTGTGTATGTGTGTGTGTGTGTTTGTCTGTGAGCACGATAACTCAAGAAATACGAAACATATTCATACGAAATTTTTTTAATGCATTTCCCATCGGCCAAGGAAGAACTGATTAAAATTTGGTTGAATTTGGTTAAAAATTGAACGAGAAATGAACAAAATTTTGTCTTGCTTTTCCTGGTCAATTAAAAAAAACTCACTGAATGCGTAATTAGGACGTGTATAATGTATGCACGCAGTACTAAGACAATAATGAGATGATAAAAACCTCATTAAGCTTCAGCCTTCATTATCTATTGTCTTAGTTGCATTTCACATGACCGAAATTCAATGCAGGCGGAGGTATGCAGTCTCTGAGTGCCTTCTAGTTTCTTTTGTATTTTCCTCGTCGTGAATTATTAATGATTTTTTTGCATATAGAATGTACAGTATAATTTAGTGCTAGCATTATTAAAGACCACAAAGTTGGGGGGAGGTGGATTTAGGAAGTAAAGATTGGAGGTTAAGCTAGGAAGAAGGGTGTCTCAGAACATTAAAATTATTTGCAACATTTGGAGCTGCTATAGGGGGCAAGCCTTAATAACTGTTGCACTCCTGCTCTTCAATTTGTTGATCCTAACAGACTTGGGCCCATGCAACCAATGGCAATTAAGTTCCTATACACATAATTTGCAGCCTTAAGCTCTATCTTAAATAACCCTGATGCATTAATGGCAGGCAAGGTATTTGATATTAGGTCATCAGACTTTGTCAGTCTGAGGTATTGATAGTGATCATAATCAGAGGTTAATATATTTTACCTTTAAAGCACATTGGTCAGGAACAGTGTTTTAAATAAGTTTCTATGTTGACCTTCAAGTTGCAAAAAAATAAAAAATCACCTAGATTGGTATTGGAATCGGCCTGTTATATTGCTTACATTTCTTTTTGGATTTATTTAAACCTCTCAAATGCGGTCTGATGGAGAAGTCATTTCATATAGTTTCAGTTTAGTTTGCTATTCCCCTCTTCTTTAACTATGCCTCCTGGCAGACGATCGATATAGCCCAGTCGATTGAAATTGACTGGAAAACACTGAGTACTACCGTATATAATTTTCCAATAATCATGGTAGTCGTGCCATGCGTACAAACTTTTGTATTTCAAATTGTACCCTGAATAGTGTGTAATATACACTATAATAATTCAAGACAAGTAGTATTTTTGTTTAAATGGAAAATTATGAAACGAAATTTCCCTACGAGACATTTCCATCCCGTATACGAGTAACTATAAAGAGAACATAGCTACTTCTTCTGGATCGCCTGGTCAAACAATGAAAGTTCAGTAATTTTAACTTCTTTAGGTTTCAAAGAATGGAGGGCAGAATGAGAAACCCATTGACAGGGAAGTTACAGAGGTAGGGCAATTGAAAGGTATGCCACCAGAACAAGATTGTTTAATAGTAGCAGTAATAAGAAATGAAAATGAAGTAAGTGATGAAGCATCAAGTTTACAGGTGGTCAATGAGGAGGTAACTACTACAGATAGTGTAAGCATGCAGGACATCACTGAAGAGGTGACGAACGAAGACAGTGTAAGTATGCTAGGAAGAAAGAGAACGTACTCGAATGAGGTTGAGATAAACGAGGTAAGCACGTCTCCAAAAAGAGCACGTACAACCAGTTCTTCGGAGAAAAGTGCAAATGATCACTCGTATTGTATAAAATCTCCTCGTAGAGTGAGGAGACAAGTGGATAATCTTATAGGTGAAGTAGGAAATCTAAAGAAGAAATTGAAAATAGCCCAACAGAAAACGAGAAGAAGGAACAGAAAGGTTAGCACGTTGGCTTCAGTGGTAAGTGAACTGAAAGAGAAAAATCTAATCAATAGTGATTGTGCAGCTCTTTTAGAAACGACTTTTTCTGGAGTTCCTAGGGAACTCATGAAAAGGTTAGTGACACAAAAGAGAAAGAAAAATCCTGGGGCGTATCCCCCCGAGCTTCGGTCATTTGCCCTGACCTTGAAATTTTATTCTACAAAAGCGTATAACTATGTTCGGAATAGTTTTGATTTAGGGCTGCCACATGTATCCGTGATTCGGTCGTGGTATAGTTCTATGAATGGCGAACCAGGTTTCACTAAGAACGCATTGGCGGCATTAAGAGCCAAAGTTCTAGCTGCAGAGCGAGATAACCAAGAAGTTGTATGCGCACTTATGCTTGATGAGATGTCCATACGTAAACATGTCGAGTGGGATGGTAAGCAGTTCCGCGGTTATGTTGACCTTGGTACAGGCATCAATGACGACTCGCTACCCGAAGCAACGGACGCCCTTGTATTTATGGCGGTGTCGGTGAACTCCGGTTGGAAAGTACCATGTGGATATTTTCTAGTGAATGGTCTTACTGGAGAAGAGAAAGCCAACTTGACCAAAGAATGCATAACCAAGTTGCACGAAGTAGGGGTGAAGGTGGTCTCTTTTACGTGCGATGGTCCCACGTCACACCAGGCAATGTTGAAATTGCTCGGCGCACAACTGTCACCTGAGAGCTTGCAAGCGTACTTCCAACATCCATGTGACCCGACAGCCAAGATCTATATTTTCCTAGATGCTTGTCACATGATAAAGTTAGTGAGAAACACCATGTCGGATTGGAAATTTCTAAAGGATAAAGATGGCAGAATCGTAAAGTGGCAATTCTTGGAGGAATTGCATAAGTTACAAGAATCAGAGGGTTTACATCTAGCCAATAAGCTCCGATCCGCTCACATTAAGTGGAAGCCGCAGAAAATGAAGGTAAACCTGGCAGCGCAGGCGCTCAGTTCGAGTGTTGCAGATGCTTTAGAGTATTGTGAAGGTAAGCTGAAATTGCCACAATTTCAAGGGTGTGGTCCAGCAGTCAAATTTATCCGTGTATTTGATCATCTTTTTGATGTTCTAAATTCCAGGAATCCGTTGGCGAGAAATTTCAAGGCGCCAATTAGAAGATCAAACTACCAGTACACGAAGAGGTTTCTAGATGAGGCAAGTGACTACATTCGAAATCTGAAAACGTCAGATGGCCAATCGATCCTCACGTCAAAAAGGAAAACAGGATTTCTTGGTTTCCTTTTGGGCATCAATGCTGTTGTGGGATTAGCAGAAGATCTCGTTAATGCCGAGAATCCAGTGCTCAAGTATCTTCTGACGTACAAGATGAGTCAAGATCACTTGGAGTTATTCTTTTCAGCTGTGCGAGCGTCTGGAGGGTGGAATAATAATCCAACAACTCGTCAATTTATAGCAGCATACAAGCAACTGCTGATGAGGCACAACATCGAAGGAGGACGTGGAAACTGCACTCCTCAAGATGATACGGAGATATTGAATAGTGTCCAGGATCAGCATGAAATCAACTCCTTGCCTACTGGAATTTCTGATGTTGCAATTGCAAGGAGATATGACTTGGCGTTGAGACCGCCAGCTGCAGATGATCACGACTACTGTGATGTTTCCAATGCCATGGAACTATCGGAGTACAAAGAAGCTGCCATATCCTATATCGCTGGGTATGTGGTGAAAATGGTAGAGAAAAAGATCCATTGTCCGCAATGTGTAGCGGCTTTGACAACGAACAAGGAAAGCATTCCAGACTTGTTCGTAACATGGAAGACGAATGGAGGTCTTAGATTGCCGTCCCTCGGACTTTTAAAGATCTGCAAGGAAACGGAAAAGTGTGTCATGAGAATGCTAAATGCAAATGGAGGTGGTTTACCTCATAGCGCTGGACTTTCAAATGCGATCACTGCGACGGTGTTGTCAGCGTGTGTTGAAAGAGGGGTCTTTAGTACATTGGACCAACACATGTTTGATTCGACTCCAGGGAACAACCACATACTTAGTTTGATTAAATGCTGTTCTCAGAGTTATGTGACCATTCGTATGCACCATTTAAGCAAGTTGACAAATGCGAGAATGCATGACAAGGTAATACGTAAACAGTTTTCGAAGCTTGTGTTATTCAAGCATCAGTAATGTGTTGTCAATGAACCTGCACATTGTGTGTGTGTTCGAGGATTGACAGAACGAGGAAATGCAGTTAGTGCATGTTTGTATTATTGAATATTGTCAATGAACCTGCACATTTTATGTGTTCGAGGATTGACAGAACGAGGAAATGCAGTTAGTGCATGTTTGTATATTGTCAATGAACCTGCACATTTTATGTGTTCGAGGATTGACAGAGTAAGGACGTGAGTGAAAATTTAAATTGTCAATGACACCTGCGCATGTCACATGTGTTCGAGGATTGACAAATTATGATTGGAGTATATATTATATAAAAATTGCATTAACAAATTATTGGTGATGATTAAAGAGGTAAGCAAGTCGTGTCATTCCACTGTATTTCTATAGCATTTTACCTTTATTTTTTATAGTTAACCGTAGATGTTTTCTTTATTTTTAGGTACAGAAAAGATATCAGTCGAATCGTAAAAGTATAGTCAATCTAAAACAATCTAGATAACTTAATGTATTTTAATTTTTTACCATTCGATGTCTGTTTCATTTATAAAGGTGTATATGGACTATATAGAGAACATAAATTAAATTAAATGTAACGTAACTGTAATGTATATAATGTATCTAACCTGTTAAAGAAGCCAAGCATTCTATCTTTCTTGAAACGTTCAGTGAATTAAGAACTAAACGGAAGACAACAACGAAGTCGTACTGGAAGGAATACAAAGAAAAGAATCAACGGTTTTACGGAATGTTTACTATTCTATACTACTGAGAGTTGGCAATGAAAAAAAAATGAAGAAGTTATCAGAAGTTTTGATGGGACTCGATCGATATTCAAGAATGTCAATTGATATTGCTTGTATACTTTCTGTAATAACATATGAGATATCAATATGTTCATAAGAAGAATTAAAGGAAGTTACACGGTATGCTTACAAAAGAAAACATTTTTATATATCCATATCATCGTAAGCAAGAAAAGAAGAATTATGTTTACAAGAGAGAACGTGTTTATGTCACCTTAGCACGAAATACGTTTATACAAGAGTGAACGCGCTTGCATGTGTTACCATATCATCTTAAGCAAGACCTATGTGCTACCAGATGGTCCCATAAAAATATGGAACATTGACTGCCCATGAATAAGTCCATGAACATTCTCATGATCAGTGACATTGATGTATTATGGAACATTGTTGTAGTGAATATTGTTGAACACTACAAAGATCTGTGGTCGATTCACGTGTCTGTGTCACAAAAGCATGAACGCTTCGGCTGCTTTGACCATTACAGTACCATCTCTATATCCTTACAATCTTTCAAAACGAAGTTCTGTACATTACCTGGATTTACGTGTAAAAGTACATAAAAAATATTGTGTGAACATTGATTTTATTAATTTCATATTAAATAATTTCAACCTCGTTCCCAGGGCATTTTGCCTCCTTGGCTGAAGGTCGGTGAAAATGTCCTTGGGATCAGCTGTAACATGACACCCCGGATTTCTGTCTGTTTTAATACGATAATTTATGTGGAATTAAATCTTCTTGTCAAAAGTAAGAATAGTAAATAATGTAATGAACCATTTGCCAACTTAAGTATAAGGCAAGTATAAGGGACGTAAGTGAATCTTGACTATACTCTCGAAATTTACCATATAATTTTAGGAGAAAAAATATTAAAGCACCAGAATTGTTGGAATAAATTAAATTATACTGCAAAGGAATTATAATCCACGGCCATTTTTGCCGACCTTCAGCCGTGGAGGTAAAATGCCCTGGGGACGAAGTTGACTAATTTTGTAAATTGACATGATACAATCATGTTTCGCTCGCTACTCTGGTTTAAATAAATGATTACAAAGCCCAGTCGAATTGTAATCAAGACCCAACGTTTCGACACTCCAGTCTAGTGTCTTCGACACTCCAGTCTAGTGTCTTCCCTGATGAAGACACTAGACTGGAGTGTCGAAACGTTGGGTCTTGATTACAATTCGACTGGGCTTTGTAATCATTTATAAAAACACCCCTGATGAAGACACTAGACTGGAGTGTCGAAACGTTGGGTCTTGATTACAATTCGACTGGGCTTTGTAATCATTTATTTAAACCAGAGTAGCGAGCGAAACATGATTGATATACCTGGTTGCAGTGAACGAACAAACTTGACATGATACATTTACATTTAATGTATTTTAGTATTTTTGCACAAGTGAACATAACAAATCCTACAAGGTGATTGGTCAAATTTGACGTATTAATCTGTTATATGAATATAACAATATCGAAATTTTCAAAATGGCGGCTAGCCGTTTTGTTGAAGTTAGTGATAAATAAATAAATAAGCGAAATTAAAATTAATTCAGACCAGAAAAACACAAAAAACTTGTGCAAAAATACTAAAACAATTATTGGCCTCAGGCTCGGTGATTATCGGGGAATATTCATATCGACTTCTTCTCGGCGAATATCCCTCGATAATCGCCTTCGGCGAGTAATCGTTAAATATTTTATTATAATATAGCATTTGTAAATTACATTTTGTAAATTACCAACTTGGCAACTACTACATATTTAGTCAAACTGTTTCATTCCCTTTCCGCCCTGTTCAATTTTTTTAAGTTGTAATTTATAAAGGTTGGAAAACATGCAAGAAAATGAACAGAATTACTGAAATAAGGTATTTTATGTGGATGTGCTGGAATAAATATGTTTTTAATTTTTCGATATACGAACAGTGGGGTAAATAGTCTCTCTCGGCATTTTAATAGATATATACGCAAGAAACGCAGTCTAATTAATCCCACCAGCCAAAACCAGTGGAAAACTATAGGTATGGTATACAGCTATTTCAATTAAGGTTGTCTCCCGAGCAAAGCGGAAAAGTCGAATACGAGCGCGAAAGGCTGCTGGGAATCGCTAATAAATTCATTCATTTATTAGCGAATCCCAGCAGCCTTTCGCGCTGGTATTCGACTTTTCCGCTTTGCGAAAGGAGACAACCACTATTTTCACCCGTTCCGCACGTTGTAACCAATAATGTATTGTCGTTGTAATGCCATTGTATGCAATAAAGTATTGGGTTGTAACTGAAGACAAAACCACAAGCATTAGATAAAAGTTTTAGTTATAAATGTAATTGGCTTGCAAGCTGGCCGGCCTTGGGGTTAGGGTTAGGGGGTGGGGTTAGGATTAGGGTTTGGATTAGGATTAACGCTTGGATTAATTGTAGACCATTACAACCCAATACTTTATTGCATACAATGGCATTACAACGCCAACACATTATTGGTTACAACGTGCGGAACGGCTATTTTTGTATACCTGACGTTATCACTCCACATATGTATAGAGCTCACTGACTGGTAGTTTGAATCGCAAAGCGCGGCAAAATTTGTCTGTATATTCTTCGTTTTCTGTGGACTGCGGTAGGTTTTGCAAAAAAAACTATGTTTTTTTAACAATATATTTAATTTAGACTGAATATTTTTTTTAAATGCTATTTAGTTACACTGCTATGACAAGTTTAGATATTTTTGGGTTATTTATCGTTATTTCTCCCCATTTTTCGACGTTAAAACATTTGTTTGCCATTTCAGTACTGGCGAAATGTAGTATATAAAATTTTGTATTGTTTTTTTTTTTAATATAGTGCTGTCAAGAAGTGGTATATCTATTTGAAGGTACGCAAATATTAATTTATTACCGTTTTTATTATTGAGTCGGCATGCAAACACTCTGCACCTTTCCAGTACCAGGGTATTGAGGTTTTAAGTAGTCAACTTTTGTCATTATACTTTTCTAGGTTGCAGACAACTCGAAAAAGTAAGTCCCAAGATTCAAGAATTCTTTTGCAATGTCGTCGGTTAATATTTATACGCGAAATAATCCATAATTGTGAATAACACAATAACATTTACAACAAATTTATTTTCAAAAATATTTTTCTACGTTAGTTTTAAGATAGCATTATAAGCCACCTATGTTTTTTTCATTCTGTTTATGTCAAATTTCATGACTATAAATAGTATAAATACCTGTCTGGTTTTTATAGTGGCAACAGAAAAGAACAACAGATTTGGTATGTAATAAACACCATAACTTGTTTGGACTTTGGGCAAATAAATATACTAGTCAGTAAACGTTTTCCTTGATTTTCATGGTAACCAAATTTACATACCATATGTGGTATGGTTGCATTTATGTAACTATATGGTTGCATTAAAACAAATTGCTTTATTTTAGAACCCGATGATGATGACATGCCTACTGAAGAGGAGGAATACAAGGAAGATGATAAGAAAGAAGAGGTTAAGAAAGGTACATTTAATGATTTTGATCATATGTATAGTATTATAAAAGACTGATCAGAAATGCAATGACCCAATGTGACTTTTTTCTGATCATCTTCAACCCTCCCATCAGAAATGTGCCCATTTTCTGTTTTTAAGAGTATTAAAATACTCTCTATTTTTTTCCTTTGTAAGATGATGATGTGGACTCCAGGAAGAAAGATGATGATGTGGACTCCAGGAAGAAAGGTGCTGTAGGAACTCATAAGATTGTGATTATAGAACCAGAAATTGTTAATTCCATATTAACATAACTAATCTTTACTTCATTAAATTTATAGGACGATGTTACAAATGTGGCCTTAGAGGCCACCAAGCTAAATCATGCAAAGCAAGTATGCACTTCTTACAATCAAATTGTCAATTTTAATAGTAATGTTAACCTTTTAAGTGGCAATGCACCCAGGCAAGGCCTACCTTTTTATTTTACTCTAACACCAGACGATTTTGGTGGTGTCAAGGAGAACACTCAGTCAATGGATTATCAATCTCAATCACATGATTGGCTAATGCATCCTATTAATCTTTTACGTGGTAATGTGCCTTACCTTTACTCTAAGTGCCAGACGATTTTACTTGTCAAGTGGAGAGTGCTGCCACTCATTGGGTTTAAAGGATGTAATTAAGATGCTGTCTAAAATTTAGTTCTGCCATATTGTATAGTTTGATAATATGAATCAATTAATTTTGCTTCATCTGGTTAGGCAACTAGAAATTTAGAACTTTTTTCTCTTCTATTCTAATGTTGTTCTAATTGCTACTAACTTAAAAAAATATTTATATATATTTCATCATTGTAGGAGTGGTATGTTGGGTGTGCCGGGAGAGGGGGCACATAAGCATTAAGTGCCCCCGAAGAAAAGAGAACACTGGGGGGAGGGTGTACCATTGTACAAATTGTACCTTTCATAATTGATTAATTATTATTGAAATATTTGTAATTTAAATTCAATTTGTTAAATTTAATAATTATACATACAGTTTTTTAAAAAGTTCCTAGGGAGCATTCATAAAGTATATGTTATGTGTAGTGCAAAAGCTATTGTAATTTTATTTGAACATTCTGACAAGTGTTTTATACTGCAAACCCTGAACTTTTCAAGGAAAGATAATAAGATTTCACACAATATATGTACTTGTATTGAGTACTAGTGGTCTCTCCTAGTCTCCTTGACATGTAAATTCACCTAGCATTGGACAGATTAGGTCACATTAGGGTGCAATATATAACTTTGTTCAGGAATGATTTGCTCAGGAACAATTCAGTAGATACAGTTAGAAATGCTCAGTTTTGAATCTAAAAACTTTTTTACTTCCTTTCACCCACATGATAAGCTTTTGCTCCCCATATTAACAAAAAACTTTGATTGCTTCCTTGTTTTAAGAATTAATATTTACCTTTTAAAAATAATATATAATATAATTCATTGATGTACAAAATAAATATTTTTTATAAAAATGCATCAGTCATATCCAAGCATGCCCATTCCTTTAATCTATGGTGTACTATACCTATATTTGCCTTGTTTGAATGTTTTCCAATTCTCAAGAACCGTGTTTCTGCTGGGTTCTACTGTATATGGTAATTAGATTTTTGTCAAAAACATGCTATATTATGCAAACTGAAAACATTCCTTGGTAATTAATGCAATACAATTTAAATTATTGCAACTGAAAGAAGATGTCATAATTCTAAAATTTATAAATTTTAAACAACTTATTTGAATATTGCAGTTGCACATAACAAAAAAGATTAATTTCTCATATGTATTAAATGACAGGTTTGCTGCCCCAAATAATTTTTCCCATACATTCATATAAGGCAAA